CATTCCTGGACCTACTGGCCCAAATGGAGCTCCTCTAAGCAGTCTTAGTTTGATCAGTTCTGTATTCTCTTCTCTGTGATATTTACTCCAACAGCAAAAGGGCAGGACTTAACCTAAAGATCTTCTTCTAATTCTATTTCTTCTCTCGGGGTGTGGAAGTTTGAGTTTGCAGGGACCAAAAGGTGACAATGTGAGTTCTACACTTTAACTTAGATTCTTCACTGGAATCTGTTTCAGAAATATGATTTGAAATTCTATGGCTTGATGTTGATTAGGGAGCTGTGGGACCCAGAGGTGATCAGGGTCCTCCGGGGGAAAAAGGAGATGTTGTAAGTACATTGATACAACTGATCAAGCTTCCTTGGCCCTCAGTACAGTATGTTGAGAATGTGGTTGGGATGTAATTTTGTGCTGCAATATTACAGGGAGACCCTGGCAAAGATGGCATGAATGGACTCCCTGGTTCTGATGGTGCCAAGGTGACTTTTTATTTTCAAGATCCAAATTTTTTTTTTTTTAACTATTAGGAGTGTAAATCCTATGATACAATGCTAAGTTCATCATGGCACACTAAAGCTCACATAATAAACTTAATTGTAACCTAATGTTTGATGCTTCAGTTGCTAACATTAGCCACTACAATTCTGTGGTCTTAGTAGAGCAAAAAAGGTCATATCATATCATAAGAGGAGAACTGTGTTACTTTTCCTGTCATAAGGTACTTAGAAAGATAGAGTCATCATTCAGTGTCAGCCCTTTACAAACCAGTAAAATAAACCTGAAGGAAAGCAGCAACAGCGACGGGGCCAATGGAGAATCAAGGAAGGTTCACATTTGTTGGACATTTATGAAGAAGCTTCTGTTCAAGCCAAACTGGAATTAACATTTCATCACCCAGGAGGTTTTGAGGGAACTGTACAATTTGAGTGTGGCTCAAGAACGTTATTGTTACTACTCTTGTAAGCACGCAGCTCACATTTTGGTTAAATCTATGCATGCATTCATATGTCACTTACAAAATGAACCGTCAACACCAAAAGATTGGATCTGATAAAAAACTTGGAATAGCGTGACACTTTGTAATGTGTAAAACAAGATATAACACATGTTTACACTTTCAAATAAAACACTGTCAAGTACTGTTATGACATTTATACTACCTGGTCTAAATTTATGTTAGGACTTTTTAACTTTATTACCCAGTTTAACACATCTTTTTAGAAAAGTAATCAGTAACTAAAAGCAAAGAGTTACATTATTTTGATGAAGTAATTAAATTTGTTACATTATTTATTACATTTTTAAAAGGGTACCTATTACATTTTGAAAGTAACCTTCCCAACACTAATACTAGTTTGAAGGGACTGTCTGTGCTGCTAGGCTGTTCAATGAGTCTGGATTCCAAAAGTCTTTAACAGTTCCTCTCCAGGTTAAGATATGTTGTGGAGCACATGTAAACTATAAATATTAGAAAGAAAAACCCTATAAACTGTGGCTTTAACGTATGCCTTTACCATTAAGCATAAATGCCACTTGTGTCTATAGCAGCAGCTGTTCAACAAAGTTTTTGCAGACTCACTGTGAATCTTCTGAACAGGGACAGCTTGGTGCTCCTGGAGCTGTTGGTGTCAGAGGGATTGTGGGAATTCCAGTAAGTCCATATATTCATCCTGTTTCTATATCAATACCAATCTGTTGCTGTTTACATTTATCATCCATTTCATGTCACAATGATAATTATGAATGTGAAGAGTTTTATTTGTATTGTAAAGCAAATGAAAGCAAAGAAAAAGAGTGGATGACAGAACTCCTTCTGAAGCCACAGAGTAGGCCAGATAAGCTATACCATATGCAGTTTCCTGTTATTTCCATTGAGCACTTAAATGCTGTTTTTCACACTCTGACAATTTTCTATGCCACAGTAAAAACAAAAACATATTGATAGAGAAGCTCCAGTAATGAAACTGAGAAACTGAAGAGCAGTTTATGTGTTTTGTTGCCATTAAATCTCCAAAATCAGTGAATTAAGTTTAGCTAAAGAACCAGCTGTTTACATTTTAGAGATAATCTGGATCTGGGATTTCCATCATCATATAATGATCATTGTTTATCCAGAACGTCTGTTCTGTATTAATGACACTCATTTCATGTGCTATCTGTCCAACCCATTCTCATAAACATAATATCTCAAAACACCTTGAGTGAATTTCTTCAGATTTGCCACATGTGCCCACTTGGACTTAAGGATGAACTGATTAGATTTTGGTGGCCAAAGGCCAAGGTCACAATGAGTTGTTGGCAGAGCCATACAACCACACACAGTAATAGTAGTTAGAAAGTAAAGTAGTTAGAAAATAAAAATAAGTTTTAAGATAGGGCAGAAAAACAACAAACACCAACCATTACTGGTAAGAAAGTGTTTAAATATATATGGTTTATGCTGCTTCAATTACCTATTTTTCTGTTAATATCAGCTCTTACACCAAGGACTGAAGGAACAATGAGACTTTTTGTTTCTTTTCTTATGTGTTATTATTCTTAGGGGCTGCCAGGGAAGCAGGGAGTAGCGGGACCCCTTGGTGCCAAGGTAATTGGAATCATTTCGTATTTAATGAGGCATCAGCCACATATCCAAAAAATTTTTCGCTGCAGGCAATTTCAGTAGAACTCACTTTTTGAGTATTTGAGCTGATAGAAATGAGAATTTGATTATTTTTTTCTGTATCATTTTTGTTGTGGATTTAGGGGGATACTGGTGCTGAGGGACCCATTGGGTCCGTTGGACTTCCTGGAACGACTGTGAGATTCCCCATTCACTCCTACTACAACACTAGTTATATGAATATGTTATTTTGATGCATGTGCTGCAAGTCATATTTTCAGACCATCCAGATTCATTTGTTTTTATATAGGGTGAACCTGGAAAAGATGGAGAAGATGGAAAACCAGGAGATAAGGGAGCACCTGTGAGTCCACATTTACTTTCCATTGGCTTTTGCATTTGGTTATGTGTTTATTGAATGTTACTTGCACTTTGTACAGAGATTTCAGGTATGTTAGTATTATGACTAAGTCAAAGTGCAAACTGTGGTTGAGGTGTTAATGTTATCTATAATCAACTTCTAGGGTGAACCAGGAAAACAAGGGCCAGTGGAACCTGCACGTCCTCTAGGCGTCCAGGTGAGACATTATTAGGAAGTTTCATATATTCATACATTAATAGATAAAACATGTATTACTAGTCAGCATTCTCTACAAAGCAATCATAACAAAAAGAAAGTATAGAAACTAAATTATAATCACTATAGATATGGAAATAATATTGTGTTAAAATGTACAGAATAGATCTATATGGTAAAATGTCACATTTCCAGAGTGACAAGGGGGATAAAGGTGCCACTTGTGCTCCAGGAATGATAGGTCATACCGGGCACAAGAGTGATCAGGTTAGACAGTTATTATTACTATAATTATTTTTACCAGTGTTTTTAAACATGCATTATAGTGAGAAGCTTTAAGTGCAATGACACACAATGTTTTTTCATGTGTTGTCTAGGGACCAAAAGGAAGTCAGGTGAGAACCATTGCAATCACTGTTTTTGTTTCAAATGTATCTGTAGATGACCTTTCACAACCATTTCAACAGTCAATCAGCCATGTCTCTATTGTGAACGGGGGAAACGGGTCTAGCAGGAGAGCCTGGGGTCAAAGGAGATCAAGTATGTGGAGCTAGGTTTTGTTTTAAGAACTATTGAAAATGCAGCAACTTTTCTGTCAGAGGAAATAAGTCAACTGTCTTTCTGTGTCTTGCAGGGTCCTCCTGGTGTACCTGGGAACAAAGGAGAGGTATTAAAGACCTACTATCTCTATTTCAACCTGTACTTCTGGTTTTAAAATTTTGCCTCAGGATCTTTCACAATCCCACTACTTGATATTAAGTTAAAAGAGATTAGAAATAGATTCCAAGTGTCAGTGAAGGTTGTTATATTATTTTTATGGGTGGATGATATTTTCTTTAGTGTGATATATTTTATAAGAAGGTTGGTCCAGTGGTTGATGTGTAATGAATTTTTTGATTTCCAGTTTAGAAAGATCGTTTTCTTGGCGATAGTTAGAGAGATAAGAAGTGGGTTTTTATATTTAATTGGTAGGTGGTCGACCTCTGTGACATTACTGAGCAGGCAGAGTGACTGGGTTGGGGGGATTCTACAGCTCAAGATGGTGGAGAGTTTTTCAGTCACCGCTACCCAGAGGGAGTAAATGGGTTGACAAGTCCAGCATGAAGGTAATCATCAGTGCAATCAATTAAATCCATTTTGAAAATTTTACCTTGTGTGATTTGAGTCCTGTGAATAGCCTTGTATTGTATAAGCTGTAAGTTTATATTGGTAGTCATGGAAAAGATATTACAACAAATCTCGGTCCAGAAGTCGGGCTGGGGGGGAGAGATAAATCCGTTTCCCATTTAGCCACTGGTAATGTTATTGTTCCATCTGTATTTGACATTAGTTTATAAAGTTTAGATATAATCTTCTTTGAGTTTGTAAATTTCATTATCTCCTCAGCTAGCATGGAAGGTTGCAGGGGGTTGTTGATTATATTGATCTTTAATTTAATTATGGATTTTAACTGTTGGTACTGGAGAAATTCTCCTCTGCCAACTCCGTACTTTTGGAGTAATGTATTAAATGATATAAACTGGTTGTTTTCAAATAGATGATGAAGGTGAGTGATTCCTTTGTGTTGCCATGTTGGAAAGTGGATGGGATTACAACTATCCTTCTGAATCCACTTAACTAAATATTGTAATTGATTTGCTAAGAAATAATACTCAAAATGTGGTGCTTCTTTGCCACCTTGTGATTTATTCTTCTGGAGTGTTGACAGGGAAACTTTGGGTTTCCTATTATTCCAGCAAAATTGTGAAGTTAGAGAATTGAGTGATTTGAACCATTTATCTGTTGGTGTTGTGGGAAGCATTGAAAACAGGTAGTTAATTTGTGCTAAAGTTTTCATTTTGACTGTAGCGATGCAGAGTCGATGTGTGGGTATGTGGGTATGTACTGTAAGTGTTTGTTAGGTGAGGGCAACTGAAAATAAAACACTGTGCCAAATGTAAAATTGGAGGTAGAAAGGAAGAAAAACATGGCAAAAAAACCAAAAACAAAGCAAAACAAAAAAAAAAACAGAGAAATCCACATACCAACAAACATAGTGCAACAGACATGGCAACAAAGCAGCGTCCAGGCCAGAGATGTTTGTAGGAGGGTGTGTGAGATATTTTTCTGTGTGTGTATTTACAGTATGTGGTGAGAATGCTGGTTGGATATTATTTAATATAAGAATCAACAGAGTAGAGGGCTGTAGTTAAGGTTATAAAGTTCTCACAGCCTAGCAGAAATGCAGATGCCTAAATATTTAATGTTGCCAGCCACTGGTTGTTAGATGTTATGTGGGAGATCAGAAGAGCCATGGAGTGATGTTAGAGTCTCGGTACAGCTGTGCTTCAATGAATGATTTGTCCACAATGATGTTTGCTCATTTATTGTTTTGTCTGTGTTGTTTCATAATGTGGTAGAGAGTTTTGCACCGTTAACTTCCCGTGGGAATTGGTCGTTGACTCCATAATGTGTGCCTTTCAGTTATTTTCCTTTGCTTTTGATGAGTTCTTTATGTTTGTAATGTTCCAGTTTGGCTATTATTGGTCGAGGTGTTTTGTTTAAACGTGATCCAAGGCGGTGTACACGGTGAAAGGTGATCATGTTGACTGTGTCGGGTGGGGATTTTTAGTTGGTTTTTCATGAAGTCCTTAACCCGTGCATTGAAGTTGTCAGGTGATTGTTCTGGAATGCCAGTAAAAATCAGGTTATCGCGCATGTTTCTAGCTTGAATGTCCAGTATCGTTTCTTGCATTATTTTGTTTTCTATCATGACGGAGTCCGTTTTGTCGCTGAGGGTTTTGACAGATACTTGGAGAGAGTTGTTTGACTGCTCTAACTTTTCAATGTAATTGTGAGCGAATTCAAGGCTTGTCCCGAGTTCTTTTATTTCCTCATGAAGTGTGACCAATAAATCAAGATTTTTTTTTTTTTGGATGGATGCAACAACACTGACCTCAATGTCTGTCGTCTGTAGATCGCTTGTATCCGTAGAAGAGGTCTTTTTCCGTATGTTTTGGTTTTGGCATATCTTGTTGGTTTGTACTGGTGGTATTCATACTGCAGTGAATGTAGTATTGGTCGATGAATGATTCCAGGTCCGATAAATCCTCCAGTATGTGAAAGGTCCGTTGTGGTTATTGGCAGCAGCTTGCAATTCCGATGGATTCCTCGTGTAATACCAGTAGTGGGTTATAAAATTTGCAAATAGTTAGCAAAGTGTTTTGATTATCCTCAGTGACTGTGCGTCGCCATGTTGAATATCCCCCGTGCTTTCTCGTGATAGTATGTCATCGCCCCTCAGTACCTTACTCAGTGAGTCTCCAATTTGACAGCTGATTTTATAGCTTTGATTGATGGTCTAATGCAGTCACTGCACCTCTGGTCACTCCTGTGCCGAATCTGGCTGCAAAAAAGCAAGATGGCAGCCACTTGTATTCATGATATTTTGGCTTTATTTTTGCATAGTGGAGGGAAGTGGTGATGCCATGTCCATTGTATATACAGCATGTCAATGACTGGGATGCACACTACCTTAGAACTACCACAGCTATTTTCTGTTAATATTGAAACTGAAGGATGTACAAGTGGCAGCACATTATTACATCCGAATGAAAGTCCAGAGCCGCTCTACAGAAAAATGGTTTTGTGTTGAAAATAGGGTCCCTAGGTTGTTATGGATATAATGTGGATTCAGGAAGCTGTTTCTTTGTTGCTTGGATACAAATGTGAGTAAACATCATACCTACCTCTGTCTGCACAGCACAATTACATTCACAGATCAAATATGACCTTTACCAAGCTGTTGGACAGAGTTAGCACAACTGCCATCGCTTAGATTTAATATAGGCCTGGCCAGTGGATTTTAGGCTGCATTTGCAGTTCAGTGCTATGTAAAATAATGTGACGAACACTATTTAAAAAAACAAAAAAAAAAAAACAAAACAATGCTTGTATTATAAAATGAATCTGTCCCAGTTTTTATTATACAGTACAGTACATGTATCTTTTTAATACTTACAGTATGCTACTTATTAAAATGTCTTAGCACCAATTTGTCAGGGAAAAATGGGGGAAATAGGAAATTAATTTCAGTTAATGCACTAGAACACATACTGTTTCAAACTGTGAATAATTTAGTAATATAACTTACAAACCCAATTAGCAAAAGAGCTAATTTGAATAATTAAAGATATATGATTTATATGCATTATATCCCACCCTTAACACATGGTTTATTGACTCTAACAAGCATATATAAAACCAAGAAATGGCAATCCTGGTACCTTTTGCTCAACAGTAAATTGATACTCTATTTTAAGATATTGTATATTAAGTGGCATATATGAAAGAGCAGGACACCTATTGTAATCACACATTTTGGGCTGAATTTAAATCAGAACATACAGTAAATTTTCTGTATTTAAACCTGCTCTCTACCTCTAGTGTGAAAGGAGCCACAGACATTTGCCAAAGTAGTTTTAGTGATCTGAACCCTTGTCAGATACATAGCTGCTCCAAAGGCCACTTACTGTATGTCACATTGGTTGACATAAATCTCAATTAACAATTATGCTTTTGTGAGATAAGTGTTAAATCAAAAAGTGAAGAAGTCAGAAACTAAAACCAAAAATAATCTTATGATCTGTGATGACATTGAGGTTCGACCTGTGCTAGCTTGCAAGTTCAAATGAGCCAATTTTAGGTACTAATGCCATCTAGTAAGTCCATGATTGAAGAATTTGTCATTTTCATTTGCTGTGTTTTCTGGCTATTTAGACATAACAGTTATCCATGCTTGTTCAAAAGTAACAAACGAGTAGCAAATATGATGGATAGTGGTGGACTCAGGATGTAATATACATCAGCATTTTTCAAGCTTTTGCTAACAATAGCTAACATAACCCAGCATCAGCTTCTGGTCATACCAGACCAAATGTATTAAATTTAGCAATAGCATTTTATTGCTTATAATTTCACTGGTACTGGTAGTGGTAAAATGAAACAAACTAAAAAACAGTAGTTCTTTTGAAAACAGCATAGCCTTCAACTCAACAAATGAAAATATTCTTGCCTTCAGATCAGTACTGATCAAATGGAAAATTCAAGCGTGCTTTACCAACATCTGCAAAACTAAGTTGTAATAAAGCCATAACTTGTCAGTTCTTCAGTAATGACTTTCCATTACATAATCTGAGCAAGAGAGGCCAAGTACGAGTGGCCCATGTACTGGTAATCTTTGACCTGTAGATCATATTCAATATCTTGCAAGCTCCCACGGGATTTCTTATACTCTTCTTCAAAATTGTTCCCTCTGTTGCTCTTATGTTATGTGTTTCTTTAAGTATTTGAAAGGATGAAAAATGTGGAGGCCATTCCATAGCTTGTAGATGACCAGCACTTTTGAGGTTCAGGAGATATATAATTGGTCCATAGGGGACATAAGGCAAAAGGTCTTTCAGATGGTGACAACAATGGTCTGGTCATCAGGATGCAAGGAAGCAACGCTCCAATTTTAGGTTCCAGGGGACACACAAGGAAACCAATGTTTTTTCAGAGCAGGGCTGAGCTGCCCGGGCCCTGTCACAGTGTAGGCACTTATTACGCCTCACCAAACAGAAAGAAAGTGTCACATTTAAAGAAAGCAGTGTGAAACAAGCAGCTTTTTAAGAAAGATGCACAAAGGCTGCAATTATACCACCTCCTCAAAGCTGTTTACTGACCCAGTCTATGCATACCTCTGGGAGAGAATGACCAGAGCCACTTCATTAACATGTGCAAGTACAAACCTAATGCTGGCATTTCTTCCTGTCTGTACCTCTGTCTCTTTAATAAGCATCTTGTGGGTGAGCTTGTAACAAATCATGACATGGCACATATGCATTATGCATCCATGACATGTTATTCATATTTTGTAAAGAAATAATGAATTTCATTTTAAAATTCCATGTCCTACTTTAAATGATACAATGTGATACACTGTCAGTCATTTTATATGCATTTTGTTGGATTTTTAGGCAAATAAACTGAATTTTGGAATGAAATCTTTTAAATCTCTCCAAAAGCTGAAACATCATTGCCAAACATCTAATTCATGGTTTGTGACATAAGTCATTTTTGCTTCTTCCAGTTTATCCCCAGAATAAAACGATGTAATTTCTGTCTAAATAAATCTGATGTTTCCTTTACAAATTTAGCTAAATTCCAGTTAGTTTAAGAGGGGATTTCTCTAAATGTAATTTTATTTTATTTTCTGTTTTGCAGGATCAATACAATAATAATAACACTGCTACCAATTTGGAGGCAAGAATTGCACACGTGTGGTAATTCATCACTTACCACACCAACTCATTAACACTTCTCCCACACAGAACCACTATTGGTATTTGAGATTGTGTCTCATACCGTCTGCCCTTCCTCCTTCCCACCAGTGACAATAACAGATAATTCACTTGAGTGAGTAATTACCAATGGAATGGTAGAAGATCCCCAGCAGGAGATTATTCTAGGAACTGAAAGCTATTGTTGGATGTGGTACAATGTGGGCTGCAAAATGGTGTGAAGCAGGAAAAAAGATCCTATTGCTGCAGGATAAAATCTGGCTGAGCCTCTGAAATAATTACTGATGAAACGATAGAATACCAGACTCCCAAATCCTCACTTTGAGTTGGGAGTTTAAAAGGAGGGAATCGCATTATCCTTGTTATCTCCATATATATTTGACAGGAAAGATACAAGTGAGGAAAAACCTGTTTAGCTGCCCTTTTTATCCCATATTAAATCTTACAAAGTCCCACGGAGTTCACTCTCCATCCATCCCAATTGTCATACCAAAAAACAAAATAAAGAATCTGACCTGCAGCACATATTGCTTCAGCCCTCTGTACTGTGGTTATCATGAAAAAGAAACGTTTTTGATTTCGACAGACACGACTAAGTTCATAAATTCAGCTGGACATCAAGCTGTTTGTGTGTCTCCTTTTTTAAGTCCCCTTGACATTTTTGGTGTGAGGTCTTTGTGCCAGGCTGGCATAGAAAGCACACTGGGTGGGATCACATTGGCCAGGAGGACCTGGAGGTCCAGGCTGACCATGGGGGCCGGGATTTCCTGGTTCTCCCTGGGTGCCGGCTTGTCCTGGGCTGCCGTCTTTACCATAACCAGGAAGACCAGCTGGACCTAGAGCGGTGCAATTAGGGATTAGAAATGAAAGCATCATTGGAATGTTGCTTAAAATGACATAAAACCAAATCAAAAATGATGAAAACTGCAGTCACAAACTGGTTGTTACCTATCGGGCCAGGAGGGCCTTGATCTCCTCTTTCACCGACACCAGGTTCTCCCACTTCTCCTTTGGCTCCCTTTTCACCTGGAAGAAAGAAGAAAACTATGGTCACAAAGACCTCTGCACACTCACAAGATGTGCAAGGCCTCTTTCAGAGACAAAAGATCAGAAAGGCACCAGTCCCAGAGAGTATAACTCCTTCCTATACTAATCACCTGCCCCCCATCTTCACACAAATCAGATCGCTTTAGCTGTGTGAAGTGCCCTCCTGCTTTAAACAGTCCACCATCATCCCAGGTCACAAGAAACCCTCAATCAGCAGATTGAATTATGCAGGACTTCCTGTAATTTGCCTATGAGGCAAACAGGTCAGTGGATGATGCAGTTAACATGGCACTGCATTAAACCCTGCAACACCTCAACTCCCCAGGGACCTATGCACAGGTCCTCTTTGTAGACTTCAGCTTGACGTTCAACACCATTATCCCAGACACCCTTCACTCTAAACTGACCCAGTTCACTGTGTCTGTCCTCACCTGTGAGTGGATCACCAGATTTCTGACAGACAGGAAGCAGCAGGTGAGACTGGAGAAAATCACATCCAGCACCCAGACAATCAGCACAGGGCCCCCCAGGGATAAATGTGATTGTGATTCTGAGTCTGACATTCACGGCAGTTATATTTACTGAATAACCATAACCAGTAAAAATATATTGAAGTTGGTTCAAGGGACACAGCTTCAATTCTCCAGAGTTTTGTGTATTTACGTGCAGTAAATGTGTTTGCATTTTGTTTGGACTGTGAAAAATCTGATTGGTTTGTAAAATAAATTCACTATGGAAAACATCAGGTGAACAACAGCCACTCACTGGGGATGTTCCTGATTTTACATGTTGAATAAACTTTCTCCTCACACTATGAAAACAGGTGCATAACATCTTCTGCATCCAGAGATGCCACTTGAACAATCTTAGTGTTATTTTGTGTAAAAATGAGACACACTGTTTTCTCTTTAGCTAACTTTGACTGTGCTCCTTTTTTACTCCCAGCCGTGGGTATCACTGTGGGTACCCCCCCATCAATACTGACAAGCATCACATTTTGACTGTGGCAAGGGAAGCACCAGGGGTGGCCAATTAAATTCTGGGGGTGGCCAGCCCCTTGGTTCTGCCTATGGTCATCAGAAAGAGCTGGATGATGTGGTTGGAGAGAACGTCTGGGCTACAGTACTTAGCCCACTGGAACTCTGACCAGGACCAAAGAAATGGCAGAAAATGCAGGGATGGATGGATAGGATACAAACTGGAAATGTGGAGTTGACATGTGCATCAGTGGCAGCTGTCATGTTGACACAGTCTAATGGAAATATAGTAATTACTGAA